GTACTTTGGCCGCAAGAGATCATTCTTAGGGGAAGATCACCAGAGGTAGGGGCTCTCGAGACAGAGGTGTGCATGCCATGGAGGCCAAATTAGGGCTTGAGCGCGATGTGGCAGAGCTGGTTCACACATTGAAGCAGCCTAACAGCCTCATACCGGGAAGAGACATGGCCACACCTCCTGTAGCACAGTGCCAGTGGTGTGAGAGTTCAAACCACTTGGTGGAGGATTGTCAGGCTATGCGGGAGTCCTCCACACCTCAGGAGCAGTTGGACTTCATCGCCAATGCTCAATGCCTTGACCCCTACGGTGGTACCTATAATGAGAGGTGGCGCCAGCACCCCAATTTCTCCTGGAGTGGCAGCAACACCAACACCATCAAGCCTCCCGGTTTCACAGCACCAGCTGGTGGTATTCAGCAGATGCAGCAGTACCAGAACCAACAAGGTTCATTTCCTTAGCAGCAGCCAGTTCAGCCCAGACAGGGGCAACCTTTCTAGCAGCAATGGAGGCAATTCGCACAGACGACAGCAACCCTAGCACAGGGTGACCAAATGTCAGAGTTGAAAAATATGGTGATGGCTTTCATGAGCACCAGTATAGAGAAGTTCCAAAAAATGGACAAGTTCATGGAATTCTCTATGGGGATATTCACTACACTGGAGGCAGGCCAGAGAAACCAGAGTGCTATTTTGCAAGACCTCCATAACCAGATTGGAGGAATAGCTCGGAATAACAGCACCGGGGCACTAAGAAATCTACCTGCCAACACCATCCCAAGCCCTCGCGAGCCTCACCAGCAGTTGGATGCCATCACTATTAGAAGTGGCAAGACGACATCTAATGTACCTGCTCCGGTCAGGGAGAAGGAACTAACACCTGCTCCAGCACTTCCAGCTGAAGATGAAGAGGTGGGGATATAGAAGGGAGCACATACTCCCAAGCCACAGCCAGTGGTTAAGGAGCATGTTCCCCAGCTTCCCTTCCACACTCGTATACACAGGGACAAGCTGGAGAATGAGTTTACCAAATACATGGCAATGTTGAAGCAGGTCAACATCAGCATGTCGTTCGTGGAGGCACTGTCGAAGATGCCTAAGTATGCCAAATTCATGAAGGATCTCCTCACCAACAATAAGAAACTTGAGGATCTATCGATAGTGATGTTGAGCGAGGAGCGTTCTGCAATCCTGCAGAATAAGCTGCCAGAGAAGTGCAAAGACCTAGGGATTTTTACTATCCCTCTTGTTATTGGCTGCATGCATGTAGGTAAGTCCTTGGCGGACCTAGGCGCTAGCATCAATGTCATGCCTTATAAACTGTTTAAGAAGCTAGGCTTAGGTGAACCTAGAACCACTAGGATGAGTATTCAGTTAGCTGATCGGTCGATTGTGAATCCTAGGAGTATCATAGAGGACTTGCTTGTTAATGTGGGTGCATTCACATATCCTGTTGATTTTGTTATTTTGGATATAAATGAGGATGTAGATGTGCCTTTGATTTTGGGTAGACCATTTCTCTTCACCCCCAAGGCGTTGATTGATGTGCATAGTGGCAGGTTAATTTTGCGGGCTGGGGATAAACAAGCTACATTTTCTGTGTCTGATAATGCAAAACATTCCCATAGATCGCTCCAATCTGTTCCCAAGGTTGTTCTTCGTAAATTTCTCTCTATAGCTATTTCTAAACTTGAAAAACCCGATCCCCTCCAATATGCCCGAGATGGCCTTTTATTGGTAGAGATTCGCGAGTTACGGCTAAAGTTATGGTCGTAACTTCCTTCCCCAGCCCGTAACTTTCCATCAAACGTCAATGTTTCTGCACTCCGTAATCCAAGAGTTACGGCTCATATAGAGAAGTAACGGGCCAGACCGTAACTTTGAGGGGAAGGCCATAACTTTAAAAAAATGTCATGGATCCCTGGCTCCACTCCTCCAAAGTTATGGGCCGTACAGGGAAGTTATGGTCCAGATCGTAACTTTCAAGGTCTGGGTGTAACTTTTCCCTGCTCTCTACCCGATCACTCCTAAATGTCCCAAAATGCGCTCATTCAAACCTATTCACTTACTAGGACCTGAAACATCATAAACCAACACAACCTAGCATAAAATAGGCCAAGAGAGTGAGAAAGCAAGCTCAAACGATCAAGAAATGACGGGGAAAAATGTCCTAATGTGGTGTTATCGGTTACTCCTATGATTTATCGTCCGGGTAATCCCCAATGGAGTTGATTCAATCGATCTCCTAACGATTTATGAATCCCTAGGTTGAATAGAGCACCTTCACATCCATCACTTTTCTGTTTTGGATCAATCTCGAGTGAGTCTATCTCCTAACGGTAGGATAGTGAGTCGATTAAGCTAAGATAGTACTCATTATCGATCCAAATGATAGAACTAGGGGGATTCAAGCTAAGAGAGCTCCACACTTGTAATTAGCTAGTTTAGTTGTAGTCTAGGTTAGTTATTTTAGTTTTCCTAATCACTACTCTGGGTTGGCTTGATAACAAAACCTAAACCCCAAAGTAGTGTACACCTAGATCCCCGTGGTTCGATAAATTTTTATTGCTTGCTTACCCTATGCTACACCTGGTCGTAGGTTATACTTGTCCAACGATTGAGATGTGTTGTTAGAGTCGAGCCAAGTTTTTTGCACCATTGCTGGGAAGCATTCTAGGTTATCGGAAAAAGGGCTTAGGTCGTTACTTTAGTTCACCCACTCTTCATCTTGCAAGGTGGTTTTGGTTTGTTTGATTTCTGTTTTAGTGTATTTGTGTTTGTAGGTTGAATCATGGATCTCAATGGCTTCTACAACATGTGGGGGTATCCAAAACCACCCGAATGGGGGTACCCCGGAGCTTCATGGATTAATTAAGAGGGTGGAAGCCAAGAAACCGGGTTCTATGATCAACCTCCTTTCCAAGAAGAACAACCATACTAATGGGGATATCAAACAAAGCCAAGAAGCTTCCCCATACCAAGAAGATTTCCTTCCACAACTAGAGTCGATGAGTGATGTAGAGCTCTTGGTGGAGCGGTTTTCCGGGGTTCCGAAAGAGCATCCTCAAATGCAGAACAACCTTTCTACACTCCACAATCACCAAGGAGCCAATTGGAGCTCATGGTGGAGCGATTCACCCGGGATGCCAAAGCATGCACCAATTTGGAAACCACTGCCCCTATTGACTCATCCTTCCTAGGAACATCGCACGAGATCCTCCAAAGCTTAGAGAGGCTAGGAGGGATTGTTGAGCAAGCATTTGCACAATTTATAGCAATCACCTCTTGACAATTGATGAGGAAGAAAAAGTCGAGGAGGCAATCCAGGAGGAGTTTGGGAAGAAATAAGAACTCATCTTGGAGACCTCTCGAGATGGTGTTAAGCAACCAAGTCCTTTGGTGGTAGACCACATTCTTCCGTCTCTCACTTTGGGCTTCGAGGAGTTTTGCACAAAGGAGGAGATGACAGAGGAGCATATTGAAGAAATTTCTTGGAAACTTGCTCTCTGTGGTGTGCTTGAAGAAGAGTGGGAAAACGTGAGAAGGAAGTTTGTGGAGGAGGAAGTGAGCATCAAAGAACAGGAAGATCTTGGTTGTTCCAAGGGGCGGAACACAATGAGGGAGAAGGATGTGAGGTTGACGTTGAAGTTGAAAGACCAAATGGGTTACAATATGAGGGTGAGGTCATGGTGGATGAAGCTTTTACAAGTTATAAGTGCTACGAAAGCTCTCCACCCAACCTCAATGCACTTTTGGAGAAGGACTCATTTGTGTCTCTTTGCCAAGCCAAGGCCAAATCATCATCGATCCCTCTTGGTGGATGCAATGGAGGTCAATCGATGATGCATTACATGGTGCGGGGCAAAGAGAAAGAAGAAGGAAAGAAAGAGAGGTCTCGTGGGTGGAGCCTCATAACTACTCAAGTTCACTAGCTCTCAATCATGGAATCGTCCAATTCTCGTGACTTGAGGCACTATCTCACCGACGAGAACCTCAACTTCAAGGAGGTTTTGGATTGGATCGAAACTTGAGCATCACTGTCCGGATAACGACGTTAAAGAAGCGTTTGGTGGGAGGTAACCCACCCATCGATTTGATTTCCTTTCGCTTTAATAAAACAACCTTTGAAGAGATTTTGGTGTTTTGGACGTGGCCTTGCTCTTCTGAATCTTTCCCGCCCTACGCTCCCATCCACTATAACATTCCGAACCTTTTCTCGAGCAAGATATTCTCTGCCTTGAGCCTTGGCCCTCACGGATTTCGACTTGGGGTGCAATTCAAGGTGTCTTCCCATAAGGTCACCCATCCTTGTTGTACTCCATACTGAGCATGTTCAACTTGGAGTTCTCACAAGAACTCCTCCATTTCACCCAAAAATGTGTCTTGTCAGTTAAGGTCAGTTTCCTACTTATGAACCATGGATCTCTCTCATGCTTTGTCGATGTGAGATTTTGCTAATGTGTTACATCCACCAACATTCACACCCTATCTGCTAACATCGTTCAACCTCCTTATTTTACGCCACTGAGGGCAATGTCAAGCTTCAGTGTGTGTGTGTGTTGGGGGGGGGGGGGGGGGGGGGGGGGGGGGTTCTATTATGCTTGTGTTTGTGGATGATTGGTGTGATTTTTGAGTTCTTAGAGCCTCGTTTTGTATGCCCAAATTTGAAAATTTTGAGGTCTCGAAGCATAGCAAATTCTACATTTGCATGATCATAGTGGCACCAAGAATTCCACATTTGTTGTCATTATAATTTTTAATTCTCTCATTATATTAAGTTTTCATAATTAATTAATTCAAGTTCCATGAACAATTTGCGATTTTGCCTTTTAAAATGCTGAAACATACTAATGGATTTCCACCTCAATTATTTATGTTGAATATCATAGTATTCGGCCCTAAGGCCTTGTGTAAAAAGGGCTCGGCCCATTAGATGTAGATGATCGGCTAGGGTTCATCGTAGATAGCCGTGTGTATATATGTAACCTACTGTGCTACGTTAGAGGTACAGAAAATTAGAAAGCTACGCCCCTTCCCATGGACTAGTCTTGTTCGATCACACTCGAACAAGGAAACCACGTAAAACCCGTCTTGTTTCAATTCTCGTTTTACTCCGATCATTGTTACGTTACGATCAACATGGTATCAGAGCCAGGAAATATGGATCTTGAGAGTATTAGCACTCGTGTCAACTCGAAGAATTTTGCACTATGGGAGTTTCAATTTCGTACGTTCATTGAAGGTCAGGGCTTTTTCGGATTTCTCGACGGCACAACAATGAAGCCAGCCGTACCTCCATCCACGCCACAAGAGCAAGCCAAGTGGGTGCAATCTGATGCTCGGGTTCGCTCTTAGATCTTGAAGTCGGTCGATCCCTCTATCGTCCTAGGGCTGCGTCTCCGTCCGACGTCGGCCGAGATGTGGAAAGCTCTCCATGACACGTATGCCACAACAAGCGCCGCCCGCCAGTTTGAGATAGAAGTGGAGCTGGGTAATCTCTACCAAGGTAACAAAGATATTACTACGTACTATAATGAAGCAAAGCAATTATGGACAGAGCAAGACCTCCTCTCGGCCGCGTTGCTCTCGGGATCGGCCTCTGGCGAAGTTCGCGCTGAGAAAGCAAAGGCCCGCACCTTGCAATTTTTGGCTCGATTGAAGCCTGAATACGAAGCTGTTCGTTCAACCCTTCTCAACCGAGAGGGCCTTCAGCTGGAGCAAGTGCTGGGCGCACTTATCCGCGAGGAAACCAGGCTGCGCACTCAGGCCGGCATCGACGCGCGTCCTGGGAATGGCGACCCTTCAGTGTTTGCCGTTGTGAAGGGCAGCGCGAATAATCAACAAGTCTGCCCTAGTGATGACTCCGGCCAGTCCGATGGCACTGCTTTTGCTGCCTATCGCCCACCGTCGACTACTCGCCGGGAAGTCGAATGCTTCCATTGCCACGCCAAAGGTCACACAAAGAAGTACTGTCGAAGTAGAAATTTCTGCGTCTATTGCAAGAAAATTGGTCACATAGTCCCGGATTGCCCTGTTGCTCCACCTCGGCCATCTCCTAACAATCGCAATATGCCCACCAGAGGAACACAACAAGGAGTGGCCTCTCGGCCAAGTGGAAATTAGCGCCACCAGCAAGCTTCCGCTGAGAATGAAACTCGCCCAGCCTTCGCCACTCACATGGCCCCTGATGGTGATGGTACTACTATGACTGCGGCTGCCCTCGAACAGCTTGTTAACAAAGCAATCAGTTCAGCCTTTGCTAGCCTGCAAGCATCGGGTAAGCTCCCTAAATGGATTCTCGACTCAGCATGCTTCAATCACATGACCAGTAATACTTCTAGTATCTCTAATTTATCCCCCGTTGATGATATTTCACTTCAAGTTGCTAATGGTTCACGTTTTCCTATTGCGGGTGTAGGGTTAGTAAGAGAACGAGACTTAGCTTTACCTAATAGCTTTTATGTACCTGATCTTGTGCCGAGTTTGGTGTCTGTTGGCCAGCTCACTGAAAGTGGTTGTCGTGTTGTGTTTGCACCGTCTGGGTGCTCTGTTCAGGATCTGAAGACGGGGCGGGAGATAGGCAGGGGTAACAAGCATGGACGGATCTTCTATTTGGAGCAGCTCGACACATTGCCATCGTCATCATCACTTGCCTCATCGTCATTGGTGTCTAGGTCTTCTCCATCCACAGTTTTTTCAAGTCTTGGTGATCGTACGTTTCAGCTATGGCACGCGAGACTAGGTCATCCTAATTCATCACGTCTAGGAATCATGTTTAAGAAACAATTATTTGGCAATAAGGTACCTCATTCGTCGGATTTCTCTTGTACTAGTTGTGTCGAGGCCAAAAAAACTCGTATTTCCTTTCCATCGAGTCGTACGATTATTACTGAACCTTTTCACTTGATTCACACTGATCTATGGGGCCCTAGCCCGACCACTTCTCCTCATGGTTACAAATATTTTGCACTTTTTGTGGATCATGCTACTCGTTACACGTGGGTCTACTGTTTGCGTCAAAAATCTAACCTTTTGTCCATCGCCACCGAGTTCCTTCACATGATCTAAACCCAATTTGATAGAACTGTTCGTGTAGTCCGGTCAGACCCAGGAGACGAGTTTAGCTCCAATCCTCTTCTCGAGCTATACCGCTCCCTCGGCATTCTCACTCCAAAGTCATGTCCCGGGGTTTCACAACAAAATGGCCTAGTCGAACGAAAAAATCGCCATGTCATGGAGGTCACTCGAGCTCTTCTCCTAGCCTCTCATGTCCCGGCCTCCTTCTGGCCTGAGATAGTTTCCACTGCAGTCCGTCTTATCAACTATCAGATAACTCCAGTCTTAGGTCAGGAAAGTCCATATTTTCGGTTGTTTTCAAAACATCCTCCTTACTCCCGTCTCCGTGTCTTTGGGTGTCTCTGTTTTGTTCTTCTCCCACGATCTGAACGTACTAAACTCACCTCTAAGACTGCTAAGTGTGTGTTCCTTGGTTATAGCGACATTCCCAAAGGCTACCTCTGTTACGATCCCTCCCTTCGTCGTCTCCGTATAGCCTGTAATGTCGTGTTTTTCGAAAACCTGATGTACTACTCCTCCTCCACGGAACCTAGCCCATTGTTTGATACCTCTCTAGCTCTTCCGTCCTTTCCTGATGATGATGATGATGATGCTGATATTTTATATGAAGCGGATCCTCCGTCCAATCCCTCGTCTGAGGATACATCGTAGATAGCCGTGTGTATATATGTAACCTAGTGTGCTACGTTGGAGGTACAGAAAATAAGAAAGCTACGCCCCTTCCCGTGGACTAGTCTTGTTCGATCACACTCGAACAAGGAAACCACGCAAAACCCGTCTCGTTTCAATTCTCGTTTTACTCCGATCATTGTTACGTTAAGATCAACAATTTAGTACTTGCCAAAAACCATAGTGTTGAGGTTAGATATATTCCATATTAGTACGGAATTATCTACTTTGGGGTAGCTAATCTAAACAAATTTTATGTCGGGTGCCTTCTCAAATGGCCCCTGTTTTATGAATAGTACTTGGATTGTGGAACAAAAATTATGCCCAAGCCAAGGATCACGAAGTTCGTAACCCCCTCTAGAGATTTGATTCGCCAATCATATTGGTTCTTTAGGACTTTCGGCGCAAATAGTCCATATGCATATCTCCATTTGATCTGCTTGATGCACCTCTTCAAATCTGAATTATGAAACAATACTATACTAGTACTACCACTTGTTGAGACCTGCAAATTCATATGATATTTCCACTTTGATCAAACTCACACGAATTTGTTTTTGTATACTGTCTTAAAAAAACCTCATCCTAATAAAGCTAGATGAACGTAAATACAAAAGGAAAAAATTTTCATGGTTTTATGTGGTAGCCAAAATTCACAATTATAAGAAGAAAGAATGCTTCACCATTATTGTTTTATCTTATTAGCTCATATTATCCCACCGTTTGCAGCATCGCTTTTCATATGAAGAAAATTGAAGTATCTGCCGGCCGCAACTAACTTGATGATATCATCATATCATCATTTTACCAAATATACTACCACCAACCCCACCTTAATTGGTTGATTAATACGGAAATTAATTGTTTATCTTATACTATAAAGTGTACATGTGACGGGGTGGACAATGAGTGGGTTGGGTGGATTTCGGTGTTAAACTGACACAACCGCTTACTAACGAGTTGGTACAATTGCGACCTGTAATCCACCCACACACTATTTCGGATTGGATGGGGTGGGTGATGAATGGGTGCGATTTGGTTGTGGGTTAATCGGCAAACACAATTCTTGAAGTGTAATTAGACAATTTGACTAACATTTATAATAAATTACTCACAAATTATAGTAATATTGCATCAATTCATACACCTACCAATTTATCACCTATGGAGGCCTCTAGTACATGTACAAAGTCTTTCATTACTTCATCAACGAATTATATATGTAGAGAAAGTAGTTTGCGTTTTTTCTCACTTAGATAAAAATAATAATCTATAGTTTGCATCTCTTCATGGTCATTTAGTGATTTCGTTTTGTGGGGATTCATAATGGGTGGCTTCATCATCTTTTGCATATTTTATTGTCCTTTTGCACCTACGACGTACAACAAGACTGGCCATCTAATGACTACTAAGGTCCATTCATAGGCAATTCGACTATTGTCTATTGTCACCTTTTATTACTTCGTGTACTGTAATTATCTATAACAAAAAATATTATGTCTTAGCAAATGGAGTAAAATGTATTATCCAAAGATATCATGATAACGCACGAGTTTTTGCCACTTGGAACACCATAATAAGCAACGCGAGAAGCAGTAAAGACATGGTCGCCTTTTTATACACAATTCTAGGGAGCGGATGAGGTGCATAACCTTGTGGTGAATAACCCCGTGCATAACCCAATCAAAATCCACTACATCGGCGTCCCTTCTCTCTCCTGAAACTCTCTACTGGGAAGAAGCGACGGATGGCAAAAATATCCGTAACCGTGGATATCCACCCGAACCCGGCCTAATCGGGTAGGGTAAAACCCGAACCCGAAGGACATTTAGTGGGTACGGGTAAAACCCGAACCCGAATATTGCGGGTAATGGGTGGGCATGGGTTTCTCAGTATCCAACCCGAACCCGCCCGATTATACACATACATATGTATTTTGTTTAGAAATAATCATTATTTTTCTCTAAAATATTTTATATTTAGCATATAAATATAATATTTTCATGAAATTGTGTTGTTTTAATTAATTTTCTTCATTCTAGTGAATTATTGTCATACTTTTCCTCTTGCGTAATGTGAGAATACGTGTGAATGTAAACATATTAGTTGGAATTATGAAGAGAAATCATTACCCATGGATAACCATGGATACCCGAAACCCGAACGGGTATGGTCATGGTTTTAATTTTCTACCCGTTTTATATGTGGGTATGGGTATGGGTAAAACCCGAACTATTTTGGGTAGGGTAACGGATATGCACTATCCGTCCCCGACCCGACCCATTGCCATCCCTGCGACGGCATTGCTCAGCTCCAACATCAGCACCAGGTTTGCTTTCATAACCAACCAAGTGTAGGAGACCTTCGTTTCAGCATTGGGATCCAATAAGGCTGCTGCAATTTTCTGCTACGAAGCTCAACATGAGAACTTCCCTCTAAGTTATTACAAATGAGAAGGGTGGAGGGGAAATTACACAAGAATAGGGAAAGTATTTTGGACGTTTGGCTTGGGATCCTAACAATACTATATGGAGGTTCTTGGCTAGAACCCCCTTAATCCCCTTTCTCCTGCTCTCTGCGCAACCTACGGAGGGAGTTTTCGGTAAATATATCCGTGCATTAATTGATTGAATTGGGCCAGGCCCATTCTACTTTTCCTTGCAAACATGGGACACAGAAACGATTGAAGGGGCACTATTGGATTTACATGGACCGGAGATTTTTTTTTTGACAAGCTGGACCGGAGATAATTGAGATGGAGAAAAACCAATTATTATATTAATAACTTTCTTTTTATTATAAGGTTGTGCCGTGGGTGTCTATATGTGATTTAGTTTATTTATTTAATATTTTTTATTATAAGATTAAGTGTTTGAGGCAAACTCTTATATATGTGACTTTGCTAATTAACTAATTCTTAATTAATTAACTAAAAAAAGTCAATACTCTTCAATTATAAATTTAAATTTGAGGGTTTTCATAAAACAAGTACAAAATAGAAAAGTTTAACGCATTAATGAGAGAATTGATAAGAGTGACGAGGTTTATGAATGTAATTATTAATGATTGTTTAATTAATTATTATTTTATTTTCCAATTCTTCTTTTAGGTATTGATTTTCTCTTATAGTGATAAAATATAGGTCACAATAAATAATTTCTTTCTTATACCAACTTAGATCTACATTTGTTATGTATTGTTTTCTTTACAGAGTAGAAAACGACAACTCCATTTTCTTTCTTTTTCATAACTTTGCTTGGTTTTGATCAAATATTAGTGAGAGATTTAAAACTTGCTTGGTTTTTGAACAAATATTAGTATGATGATAATTCTTATCAAAACTTGCTTTGGTAGTAACATTTTATTTTTTATTTTTTTCGTTGAATCATCTTATTATTTATGTTATAACTGCTTCAGCATTATTTTGAGTTTTTAAGTCAATTCATACAATTATTAAGTACTATATTTATTGATTCTACGCATTAAAAATATATTCACCTAGGAGAATCATCTTATTGACAAAATAGTGTTTCAGTATGATCTTCAAACAATTAAGTAAAAGGGCCGGAATTTTGGTGCATAACCTCCTTTAGTTAAGGCTGGCTTAAATCTCAAGAGCTATTATTAAGGGACTTTCAATTTCTTGCAAATTAGCGGACTATATCTCATTCATTTCCACTGATTTTAAATAGGTTAGGAAAACCATATTAATTGTAACTTGCCAAAGAAAAGTTAAAGAAGACTACGCCGAACAATTTTATAAGAATTATACAACACCAAAGACAATAGTAGTTAGGTAATGATCTACCTCTACTCTTTGATTGTTTTTAACTCCAAGTTCATTCATTAGGGAGAAAAGAACGTACCCACTAAAATATAAAGAAGAATGAAGAAGTGCAATCTCGCGCAAAGTTCACGACATCTATAGGGTAAATTTAAGTTCTTGAAAATGGAATTTTCATAATTAAAAAAAATTGCCATGAAATTTTTGCATCAATGAAATGTAGAAGAAAGAAGAACATGCTAATATCAGAGGTAGTGAATTTAGAGATGGAGATAAGGACATTATTGAGATAAAGAAATATATTATTTGATGGTTGATAAATAAATATATGTGATAGCAGGAAAGAGCGAATGGTTGAAATATTTGATTCATATGAGGTGAAATTCTAGCATCGTGAAAAGATGTTTCACATTTTATAACATTTTACAATTAAAATGGTTTTCAATGAAATGCATGAGAAAAGTAAGCTAAGAGACTATTGAGTGAATATGAAGTTTCATTAATCAAAATGAAGTTGTGTGGATAAGATGCTTTTTTTATGGCGGGGAAATCAAAAAGAATTCCAAAATGAAAATTGCAGTAACTTCTAGCAATAAAGAGTATAATGAAATACATTTTGAATATTAAGTTTTTTAAGAATAAGTTACCTCCATGAGTTTTGTAGTTTACTTTTGATAAGGACTTTTTGTACATGAATGATCAAGATGTGGTAACACTTATAAGTTATAATGTATATATTTTTTATATGTTTAGTTATTGAATGATTTAGGTTCTTTCATTTACCAAATAAATTATTCGCATAATTACTGTTAGTGTTTATATTCTTAATCTAATTCATCCGGCCAACGGGCGGGCCCAACTCTAGTAAAGGGGAGAAGGAGAAGTCGGGATGCTGACCTAAGAATCATATATAAAGGAGTGGGATGGAGTCGGGTTTTGCGGGTGACCCGCACACCCGCCCGTAAACCATCCGCGTTTGAAATTAGCCAATCCGTGACCCGCCCACTAACCCGTCCACATACAGCGGTTTGGATTATTTTGCGGATAGATTGGGTCAAATTCGCAGGCTACCCGCCCGCATGCCCAGCCCTATACTAGCTACTTTAATCCGAGATCACAAATGATAACACAATATATTGCCAGTAGCGAATAATATATATCTTTTGATTTCTTCCCAATAGTTAATTTAAACCCAAAACATTTAATCGAGGATCAAGTTTAACTCCAGTTTCAACAAATTAAATCAAACCAAAACACCTATCCAATATTGACGACTAATAAATCTCCCACGCGCGAGCAAAAACACGCCGCACGCGCCAATTTAGCAACCACCGGAAAATCAAATCAATCATCAATCGGTCTCCATGCACTCGCCCAAACCACCGGCTGCTCCTTCCAGCACAAGAACATCCCGGCGCCCTCCCCGCCGCCGCCGTTCTGCCGCATCGACCAACCTTCCTTGTACCTCCTCAGCAACGCCTTCACGTCGTCGCTCACCTCCTCGCTGAACCCAACCGGACAAAACCCACTCCCTCTCAACCTCCCCGACCACCTCTCCGCCGTCTCCCTCCGCTCCGTCGACTCCGCCGCCGGACACGCCACCAGGTCCAGAATCGCCCTCCCGGCCCCTCTCTCCAGCATCAGCCGCTCGTTGCTCGTCTTGGGAAAGCTCTCCTCCAAACACTCGAAGTAAACCCTAAACCACCGCAGGCACTCCTCGAACCCCCGGACGAAATCCCCGGCGTCGAGATCCGCCTCCTCCTCCACCACCGTCACGACCCTCGGCCGCAGCTGCCGAAACCTCGACACCACGTACTCCCGCCGGCTGGCCGCCGGCGACACGGAGTGCAAGGACCCGACGCAGTTGATCGCCAGCGCCTCGCCGTCCTCCACCCCTAAACCATCAAAATCGAGGGCCGACATGTCGCCGGAGTGGTGGACGACGTTGAACTTGAACGGCACCCCCATCAGCCTGGCGAACTTCTCCATCCGGCCGCCGATCTCCTTCATGACCCGGGAGGAGGAGGAGGAGGAGGAAGCTCCGCCGAGGACGGTGGTGAGGCGAAGGTGGGGTGCGTCGTCGGAGCGGGTGGCGAGGGACTCCAGCAGCGTGGGCCACTGGGTGCAAAACGTGCTGCTCAAGTCAACGATGTGGATCCTGGGGTTGCCGTCGAGTGCCTCGAGGATTGCGCCGTTGGCCGCCACGTGTCCGAAGGTGGTCCAGGGGCTGGCGTCCTGGAAGCGGAGGAGGAGCTTGCGGGTGGAGTCGAAGGAGCAGGAGCGGTCGGAGGCGGCGGAGAGGCTGCGGAGTGATCTTGGGCCGGACTCGGTCATGCGGGCGAATAAGGCCTGGAGGAAGTAGGAGGCCAGCTTCTGGTCGGCGTCGCCGTAAGGGGAGGCCAGCTCGTTGAGGATCCACATCAGGTGCTGGAGGCGGGTGGTGTCGTGTTGGGCCGCGGCCCGGGCGGCTTCGAGGAGGACGTCGGAGGCCCATGGCTTGGTGAAGTCGAACTCCTGCTGGGGTGCGAGGTGCTGGGCCGGCGGCGGCGGCGGCGGAGGGTAGAAGTCCGGGGTAGGGGTAGGATAGTAATTTGTGGGGTTGGGGTTGGGGGTGTGTTTGGAGGAGGAGGAGGAGAAGTCGTCTTCATCCATGAAGATGTTGAAGCATTCTTGTGCGACGTCGGATTGGTGGGTTTGGTAGAAGGAATTAGGGTGGTGGTGGTATTGTTGTTGTGGTGGTGGGGCGGAATTGGAGTGGGAGTGGGAGCTGGTGGAAGTGGTTAAGCTGGCTGAGTTGAAAGAGTGATCCGATTGCTGGAATTCCTGCAGCTGATGCTCCTCCTCCTCCTCCTGATGATGGTGGTGGTATTGTTGGAGACTGACTAATCTGAACAAGGTATCCATATGACTTTTTTTTTTTTTTTGGGTGGGTTAAGAAGTGGTGAATATTAAAAACTAAGGAAAGGGGAGAAGAAGAGAGACCCACATGAAATGTGATGAGGGAGTTTTGGGTTGAGGAGGAGAGGAGGAAGAGGGTAGAAGGGAATATAATTATGTGAAAAGAAAGGAGCCCCTTTGTGGGCTTTTGGCTTTGGAATGGAGGGGTTGTTGGGTTGGAGGAAGAATGGGCGTTAGGGTTTTTTTTTAAAGAGGGGAGATGGGGTGTGGGGAAAAGAGGGTGGTGGGATGGGATGCTTTTCTTTCAAGATAGATGGCTTGGGAATTGGCCTTTGGGGATGATGATATTTGGGGTGATAAAGGGCTTTGTTTTGCTCCACTCCAGGGAATGATCTCTGGCTCTTTGTTGTTAGATAAGATAATAGGGGATGATTAGATTAGGTTAGGAACTGAGAAAAGAAAGAAAGAAAGACAAAGATCATTGATCTAATGGGAGGGAGATAGAGAGAGAGGAGGAGGAGGAGGGTTTTGATTGGGAGAAAGGATGGTGGAGACTTGAGAGAGTCAGATGAGTCTTTAATAAAGGAAACTTTGCACTTCTCATGGTAGCCCCCTCCTCAAGGTACAAATAACTGGGAGAACAGTAGTAAAAAGTAAATAGAGAAATATATGATAAGACTGATGGGGGAGAGATAGATGGAAGAAGAAGAAGTCAAAATGGATATGCAAGTTGTGAGGTATTACTAAAGATCCATGGAGTATTGAATAAAGGAGATATCAATATCAGTATAGGTCATCACATTAATTTAATCACGACCCTAAATGTAATTAAATTGGGAATATGATTAACTCAGTATAATAAACTCCTTGTTTTTTATGTCCACAATAATAATAATTTCCAGGAAAAGGGTTGCTTGTCAATGTCATTGGTTTATATATAACGAATGATTTTTAATGAAATTTAGAATTCCATAAAAAAAAAAATTGTATGATAATTGGGAAATTTCTAGACGCTCATGGATTAATGCTATGAGGTAGTGGTGCTGTACATTTTTTTTTTCCATATTAAAAGTAATTTTGAAGCATAAGCCCAAAGGTGTTTAATTATGAAAGGTCGTTGATAAGTGATGGCAATCGGGTGTAGTAGGACGGGGCAGGTACCTCAATTTACATACCTGCTCTGCATTATGTGAAAACAAGCTAAGGTATTACCATCTCTGGTACAGGGGCGAGACGACCCACTCTTATTTGTTATTTGAAAAGAGACCGTTGATGTTTAACTCTTTTATAAAAAAAACATAGAAAAAATATTTCATAAATGAATAAGAAGTATTAGTAAAATGGAATAATTGAGTCTAAATAGTTGAAAGATAAGACTCTTCAAATTTTTGGGATAAAAATATGATTTATATTGGTTAAAAGAGAAGAAATATATGTATGGATTGATAACAAATCATGATAAGACGGGTCGAGAACAAGGCGAGACGGAATGAAACACAGATCGAACGTAATACTCATGTCCCGCCCCACTTTACAGCAGGTCGACTAATACCGCCCCAAACAAATCGGACAGTTCGGGTCGAGCGGATCAGGCCAGAAATCCCCATCACTAGGTTGATTTTGTAGATATGGGCATTGGTTAAAAAGGGTGGCCGGCCGGGTAGTGGGACTGTGGAGTGGCGGGCAGTAGAGGGTTGGAGATGAATAACATCGTTGCCTCTTAGCTATAATCTGACACCAAAATCACCAAATTGGGTTTTATTTTCTGTAGTAGCAGAAGTAGTGGGGGGATGGGGGAAATAGCTTTTCCATTCTTGCTTTCTTTCTTTCTTTCTGGCTTTGGTTCTGCCATTCACCACAGACAAGGGACAGAAAGTGAGGGAGTGAGAGAAATGTGTGTGTTGTTTTTGGGTAATAGAGGTAAGGGTGGTGCCTTAGTGGTAGTGGGAGCAGGCGTGCCAATTGGAATTGGGACTTTGTGTATACAGAAAGAAAAGAAAGAAAGAAAGAAAGAGTCTTTGCTCTGTGTATGAAAAAGCTGCCGGCCGGCGTGCATTGTCATCATCATCACCGCCACCACAACCACACCCACCACCATATTCGTTTGCCCTTCTCCTCCCCCTAACCTAGCTACAACCTTAACCGCTATGTTCATTAGTTGTAGATTAAGTGAGTTTGTTGATGGATATCTCCATCTGGAACTCCAGATTTTGAGATAATGTGGTCGAAAACTCTCGAGTGCTCCAGGTTCTTTTTAACATTGGGAACGAGTTGCAGTTACGTTACAGTTTATTTTTAGTCTTACGATAAATTATAGATATTGAATTACTACCGATACATCGCTACAACAATATTGAGAATGCGAAAAAAATAACTATTTTAGGATATTGATAACACAGTAGGCACAGGTAGAACAGCTGCTAATTAAAGCTAATCACCCCCTCTATTCAAACGTATTAGATGAATCATTACTACTACTACTAAATTAAGGGTACTTGATCTAAACAAAAACAACAATGCCTACTAAAGTGCACACAAATGATCATCATGATTCTCTTTCCTTTTCCAATGTCCCATACTTCCTCCTTCTCTAAACCCTAGGGCATGCTTGCTTTGCTTTCATGCAACCAACCCTCTTTCCCTTCTTTTTATTCAACCTTTGATTTATTTGACCAGTTTTTTGTTCCCCAATTTATATTCCTTCCCACCTGCAGCATTCCATGTTTTCCTATACTAGCTACATAGGACACCAGCTGGGCCTGTCTACCTCAGTTCATGTAAATATATACATTCCCTCAGTAATTATGCTCTCTAGATCCCTAGCTATGTAGTCCTTAGTCCCCATGCATATATATGTCTCTATCTCCCCAAGAAACAGATCATATGTCTCCCATTAAAATCTGTTTCTCTCTTTGGAATGGTCCTTGTAATTGAGTGGCTGTGTTCCCTTCCATTCCTTCCATTTTGTGTTAATGATTACTTTATATTGGATGCCATGGTGTGCAGTGTTTATGTACACACACCTAGGAAGTATTAAGGCTTTAGCTCTTGTTGAGGTTTCTTTTTCACTACTTTTTTGTGTGTGTGTGACAATGTTGATGTTGTTTTTTTGTTGCCTGCTAGCTGTTGGCTATATTCATGTTGTCTTCTACTTCAACCTTACTCTCCCTTTCTCCTCTTAATATGACTTCCAATCTCCAAACCTCATGGATGTAGGCAGTGGCATAGCCAAGATTTTGGGTAAGGGGTGCTAATTTAAAATGATTATCAATTTTTTTTATAGTGACCAACGACTGGTCCTCATATTTTGAAAAGTCTGTAAAATACACTCATCATCCAGACTATCAAGAATGTCACTCTCAATGTATCCTACCAAAAAATCATTCATGATATCATCACTCATTCCTCTCCGAAGAGTGTTCTTCACGTAGTTCATTGCCAAAAATACTCTTTCAACACTTATAGTGGCGACTGGTAGCAGCAATGCTAACTTCACAAGTAGATACACATATGAAAATAAGGGATGAAATATTGAAATGAAACAATACCTTCAAGCTAGCATGAGAGTTTCAAAGATACTCTTCGAAGAAGAAGTTGTTGTCCGCCGCCAAAGGAAAAGAAGAACGAAGGAAGATGAAGGGTCAAGGGTGAGACTGGGTTTGGGAGAAGTCTTGCTTGTTAGGTCTAAAATTTTGATTACTGCTTGAATAATGATAAAAACATATTAATGTATCACATAAGTAATTGTGATTTAATGAAAGAAGCCAAAACTAATAATAAGGGGGTTCCATGTTCAAATCCTAGCTATAGCATAAACTAATACCCCTTTTTTTGTATGTCCTAATCCTAATCCAAGAGTGTGCCATGGAACACCCTAATTATAAGCTATCTCCGCCCATGGATGTAGGATGTGCTATTCATTCATTATATATATATATATATAACGCGTGGTAATAACACTAGTTTTGAAATTCGAGTTTTCAGGTTCGAATTATTTCTACAACAACCTAATTATATAAACAAACCTAGCTATATGATCCTTATATATGGGGGAAATTATTTAACGTGGCTAGCTATCTCGATTATTCGGTTCTAGAAATACATATTTGGCCTAATATAATTTCGTCTTGGGGTGACTTCTAAAAAAAAAGTTTAGAATAAGTATTTTTTAGGAAATCCAACGGACAACGAGACTAAATCTCAATCTTCAACGTTTTCAAGTACGTCAAGCATCTTAACCAAAAAAAAATTACAATCTTTTTACTATCAATCTATACAATATATTGTACATTTTCTCAAATTAGACTTCATTTATCTCAAATTTTCTAAACTCACGAGCATGCACGTCTGCCGATATTTTCCACGTCACTTTTATTATTTTATTTTTTAAATTCATCACTTATTAAAAATAAGCAAACACATAAATAATGGTTACTTTTTTTATGCATTACAGGAGGCACAAGGCCAAAGAAGGAGAAACAGGGGGAGAGAGATCAGATGTGAGAGATGGGAGGAGTGTTCACTACACTTCTAGGAAAAGTGATTCCTCGGTGATCATCCTGTAATATGGGAAGGACCTCTTGCGGCGGATCCTCCAATTCATACATACCGTAGGGATAGACGAGACTATGCTTCGAGAGCCAGTCCACGACTCTATTCCCCTCTCGGTAGGTATGAACTAGATTCACCACCCAATCTAGAGCAATCTTCCTCCTAATGGCCGAGAGAAGAGAAACATAAAGATGAAGAGGATCTGTCCTGTTCTTCACAAGTTGAATAGCCAACTGCGAATCTGATTCGATGATGATAGCCCTGAAGCCTTTGTTCCAACCAAGCCTCAATCCATGATAGATAGCCCACAACTCGGCCAGAGTAGCCAAACAAGACCTCAATCTTGAAACAAAACCACCTAGCCAGTAGTTGGAGTCCCGAATTACTCCTCCGGCCCCGGCCAGGCCCTGTGACCCTCCAGCAGCCCCATCAACATTGACTTTTGCCCATCCCGCATGTGGCGGCTTCCATCCGATCCCTGTCATTACCTGGTTCGGCGCCGGGTTTCTCCTTCCACCAAGCTGCGTCGGAGAGTTCCAAGTCCGAATCCAAATATCTGCTTTGATCTTAATTGACTGCATAAGAGAAGGGGCCGACAGGGTCTTGTTCATACCTTTGAAGACTCCTTCATTTCTGTTTTTCCATAAGCACCAAAGGGCGATCCCGAAGAAGCCATCCCAGGGTAGACCTGTTGTTGATGACTCCTTGCTCGTCAGGTTGCGGTGTAACCAGTCGTCCCAAGGGAGATTGAAGAACTCGTGTTGGGCCTCCGCGGGAACTACTCGATGCCAGAAGAAGGATGCAGGCGGACAGCTCCGAAAAATATGGGATAAGCTCTCTGTCTGAGAAGGGCATCTGTAGCAAGAATTTTCCTGGGTAAGCCGTCTATGAGCTCTGAATTCGTTCGAGCTCACCTTTCCCTGCGCAAGCAGCCAGATGAAACATCTAACCCGCTCGGGGACCGTTAGATGCCAAATGGCTTTCCACAAACTCTGCTGCGTGCTGGCGGGAGCTGCCTGAAGAATCTGGTAAGCACTTTTCGTAGTAAAACGTCCATCCGCCGTTGGGGTCAAGAACAAATGGTCTTCCTCCGTAGCCAGGGGATCAACAGCGTGGGCTGTTATCTTGTGCAGTATCTCCTGCGGGAGTAACGAGCCAAATTTCTCCACTCTCCAATTTCCTTCCTCATCAACAAACTCGGACACTGGCAATTGACGGTCTTCCTCTAAGATCATCTCCGTCGCCATCTCATAGAGAGGTCCCTGCAAAATCCAATTATCCGACCAAAACTTAGTCTGATTACCCCGATGAATATTCTAGGCACACCTTTGTTTAAGTAAATCAGCTGCTTTGGT